CGGACCGTACGGGCTTATAAAAGTAGCAAACTTACCTCTTCCAAGTCGTAGGCGAACAGTCATCAGTCGCGCGCTGATGCCCGTTGGTTCACCCACCAGCTGGCCATTCAGGCGGTCGGATATTGCAAATCCGACCCCATGTTCACGTGGTGCTGAGGCGGAGTTGCCCACCCAGTAGGATATGTAGCCAGCAACTGCTTCGTGCAACTTACCTTGCTCACTGAGCGACGCAATATCGATGTGGTAGCGCGCCAGCTCCATCGCGACCAGTGCAGTGCGTCGCTCCGGGCGCTCTCTAGGGTTCCGGTCCAGTAGTTTGCGCACGTTCCAGCACCCGATGCTGAGTGCTTTGCGAGCAGGCATACGATTGCATTGGTGGGGAATCGCACGCGAGGTCGTCGTTGTGCTTCGGAGGTTTGCCTGAGGGACTCAACCCGGAGCGTTTGGCTCAATAGCCTGACCCACAAGGCACTGGGTGATTCGGAGGTTTGCTTGAGGGACTCCACCCGGAGCCTTTGGCTCAATAGCCTGACCCACAAGGCAGTGGAGAGCAGATCCAGCTCGGGAATGTGGTTGCAGAGACAGATTGGCATCTGCTTGACGGCCGTCACACGCAGCCTTTGAGGTTCTGGAACAATTATCATATGTTTTGCGACCGTAATTGGATACGCACCTGTGACCACGGCCAGACGCAGGTGGGTTTTTGCGGGTTTGCACCAATTTGACCAGGGGTTGCCTGGCTTGATGCGGGCAGCAGCAAACCATTGAACACCCGGAGGTGTCCTCCCACCGTGGCACTCGTGCTCTACGCCAAACGAGCTGCGAGATTATAACCCGTGGACCTGTTGTTTCCCTTGGCTAGGTTTTACGGGATGAGGGCTATCGACCAATTCCTAAACTCCGAAGAAGGTGGACTAGGATACTGCCAGGGCGCTCAATCCTGACAGGAGAACGACTCGGGTCCTCAGCCAAAGCCTTCGATTAAATGAACACCCGAAAGGCACCGGGTCTGGCACATGGTCAGTTCACTGTCTCAAGCGGATTGGTGTCCTGGATTTTAGCAGGGAGAAGGGCGAAACCCAAATCCCACTAAGCGGTAGCCACGAGGAGACGCCCAGGACATGAGCAAATGGCACAACAGTAGCAGCATTGGGTAGACCATCGGTCAGGATCTGGCCACCACCAGCCTCAGCGCACCATAGGCTTTCCCGCCTTAAGTAAATATACACACATACATTCAACGTAAGGTTAACCATTTTTGTACACCTTACCAGCGTTGTGTTTCTCATTACCATGATCATGTCTGAGTAGGTGTTCTAAGGGTTAACAAGAATAAGTTGTTACTTTACATCTTGCTGTCATCAAGCCTTCCTTCAAGGTATAGTGTCAAATCCAGTTTAAATAAATTAATAAATAGTTTATCCTCGTCACTGCGAGGCACACCATCAAGGGCGTGATCATGGTATTACAGACATGTATGATCAGCGATTGCACAAATTAGTACATTTTGACCAATAGCATGGGAATTTATGTGTGAGTTGAGATGTAAAACTATGTTTAACTGTGTATTTGGAAGGGGACATGTTGTATGAGTAGGTAAATGTGACTGTGTGTGCTTTTTTTCGCTGTGTTCGCCATCAAAGGGGGAATCAGTGGAACGCTTTGAATCAGATGACGTCCGTGATGTGTGAACGATCCTCCGGAAAAGGGAAGAGGCAGTGACTTTATATAGTGGCGAGTCACATCCGTCACGTCACAGTGTTGTTAAACGGATACTTGTGGCTTTTTATAGAGAGAACGCTTGCCAGGCGAAATCCCACCACATCCTGGAACACTGCCGCCGAACCATTTGCTGGGACGGGTTTTACCCGAACCACCCAGCTGGCACCACGAGGAGGTTGTTCGGCTAGCCTCCTTGAATATGTATACGTATTCCTGTAGCTCGACAAGTTTGCAAAACCGGCAGGGAAATTTGCTCTCCCTAGTCGAATAAAACGTATATCTAATTTCTACCGAACAACACAAGGTATATAATGTGGGAAAATTTTATTGGGATGTGAACTGAACCTAATTGTTCATATATCTGGAGAGTTGTACATTTCCGGTATAGCGAATAACTAACTAAGCCGGAGCTGTAAATTGTAACCTTAGCAGGATATCTACCAATTAATACCCATCTAAAAATGTGGGTCTCGTGTCGGTAAGGGACATGATGTTTGAAGTGAGCCGGGGCTGCACTAACTGCGTCATCGAGCATTAGCTCTGTTGCCAGCTGACATATCTATTGCAACGTAGGAGAAATAAGCACAGAAAAGCAACCAAGCAGTCACATACACATGAGGGTATCAGCGTCGTTAGTTATTCGAAAGACTTAACGTTGTGCCGGCTGAGTGGTTCGGGTTTACCCATTCCAGTTAATGGTTCAGGAGCAGTGTTCTCGGATCTGGTGAAAATTTGAATGCGAACGTCGGTTGAACAACGCTGTGGCGTGGCGGTTGGTACTAGCCACCAAATAAATTCAACACGTTTACTTACGTGGAATGCTTTTCAAATCCATTGCTGTCAAACACCTCTATAAAAGCACGCTATGGTAAAGCAAAACGTTTAACAGCTAAGCAATACAGTTATTTACGTCAATACACACAAATGCCTAGATCCACGTATAAGCCTATATAAATAAATAAATGCCTTATTCCCAGCAGTGCGGGGCACGTTCGCAAACGCATGCCCCTGATAATACAAAAAGGTGTGGTCGGTAGTTGTAAGGTTAATCAGTAACAGACTGGGTTTGTGGGCCTGTATCTATGTGTAGTTTTAGTGTGAGTTGTGAGTGAACGTTTGAAGCGTAAGTGAATTCGTGAGTATGTTGGGTTTGCCATTGTATGAAAAGTCGAAGGACAACACCGAACTGGATGAGGTTCGTGAAGTGGGGATCCTCCGGAAGGGAACTAGGTAGGGACTTTAGTTAGTAGCTGATCACATCCACCACCTCGCAGTTTTGTTAAAAGGAATGTTGTGGCTTTTCATAGGGAAAATGACTGCCCGGCGAAGGCCCACCACCTCCTGGAACACTGCCCCATAACTGATTGCTGTAACGGGATTAACCCAAAACATCCAGCCAGCACCACGTAGAGGACGTCCGGCTAGTTAGCTAAACCTTACCTTCCCTGATCAATTGTTGTACTTTTGCCATTGTTATGTCTGTGCGGTAGTGCTACACTTAGTTCAGAATGCACTATTATTTTTTATCAAGTACGCAATAGTGCCTGAATTGATGCTCTACTAAATATTGTATGAAATTGTCGATTAAATTTTTTAGTAAGGTGTTCACTTAATTCGAGGGAAGAATGAAATATAAGTTGCGTACTATTATACTAGAAGACCTGGAGGTTTACTTAAATAAGAAGAGTAGCTAGTGGGGCGATTGCTTTTAAGTGCTTTGAGATGGTCAAAAAGCAAGCGAGACAGATCAAAGAAAAATAAATCAGCGCAGTTAACGGGTTGCATACCGTCAAATTGATGCGGGCGTTAGAGCGGAAGAAAAAAGCAACTCTAACTGTGCTGAAGATGAAATAAAATGTAAGGGAAGGTGGTGAGGATAGGCTTCCGGCAAATGGAGGCAAAAAGAATAAGGTGCTGGGTCCAACGAACCTGAGCATTTGGCGCCTTATATATTTAGGCACTCAGAGAGAAGGAAAGCGAGCACATACGCTTCCAGATCAAGGAGGGACCTTGAAAGTAGGCATTGCAAGCGGGAACCAGAATGGACGGACACATGTAGGTAAAGACAGCTCAGAATGGACGATTTTTATAGATTATAGCTTAGGATTTGTAATAGATTGTGGAGAAACACTGCATATAGAAAAGGATCTGATGACTATACGGCACTTTGTTTCAATAGCCTAAGAGCGGTGAAAAAAGCAGGTAAGACATTTCGGTCAATAGTGTAGTGTTGTGCGAGTCAAAGGAAAGTGGTCCAAATGAATTGGGATAAAGGATGAAACTACACAGGAATTTACGCCATTCAGAATAGAAAGGTATATGCTACTACTCGGGAAAAAAGCTACACGTTATACGGTAGGTTGAACCGGACTTGCGTTGCCTGATTAGCCCGGCTAGCGTGTCTTGTCTTCGTGAGCGTACCATAAAACACCCCATGAGGCGATTTGACTGGATCAGGACACAAAACTGTTTTTAGTGCTATGAGGCAGGTTTAGAAAATATATTTAGCCAGCCTATTGGTAAGTTTTTGGCGCCGGATAGATATTAAGTGGCAACAAGTAAGCTCTCCTTCCCCTAACCGCATACATCTTCCAACTTCCTTTTTCTTTCGTTTCCTTTAGTTAAGCTTTGGTATTATGTTTCAAATTATTTCACTAGATTACCCAAGTTACGGAACCTGCACAGCGGCGGCTGCTTCTGTAAGAAACGTGGACATTATTATGTTCACTAGAGAGTGATTTCGGCGTTGTTTATACATTAATCAACCCCACGCAGCTCCCTAACATTCCGTGGATCAGCCATTCCTTTTTAGTAAAAAAGCTTACCGTTTTCCTAGCAATGTACTTCGACCTGAACTTGAATAAACATTTTGTTTCACTGCCAGTGAATTCAAGGTCAAAAATTAATTAAACACTTTGAACAATAAAGCTGTTACTGCGCATCAAACTGGGGATCGTCCGATTAATGACACGCGCGAATTCAAAATGCTGATGTTGCAGTAAGGTACAATTGACCATGAGATTTCTGGACAGGCTAACAAAGATAGTAAATCTTTAATTTCAGCGGTAAAAGAAACCGCGAGATTTTACTTAAAAATAAACGCATTTACGCTAGGAATCAACATTTTAACTTGTATAATGATAAAATGTATTGGGATAAAAGAATAGCACGCTTTATAGGAGATTTGAAAGGTCCGAAAGCAGATATGCAAATGATGAAAATGTGGAGAAGCTAAGTCCGTGTTTTTTCACCGGCTGTACCATGATACCATAACCAATAATGCTTCGATTGCTTTTTGTTAGACGATCACTCCGATCCTGTTGTTGCCAAGGTCTTTAATATGTGATCGGCTGACATTATACACGTTGTTTATGGATGGCTTCTGAGGCGGTGAAAGTAGTGGTCAGGTGTCGTCCACTAAGTGACAGAGAGCTGAAGCTTAACTGCAAAAATATTGTGGAAACTTTTGGGGATACAGGACAGTGTTCCTTATCACAACCTGCAGATAAAAAATGTTTACCCAAATACTTTTTCTTTGACGGCGCGTTTGGCACTGATTCTACGACAGAGCAAATTTACAACGACATTGGTTATCCCTTAATTGAAGGGGTAACAGAAGGGTACAATGGAACTATTTTCGCATACGGCCAAACCGGTTGTGGAAAATCATTCACCATGCAAGGAGTTGTCGAGGATTGCTGGCAGCGTGGAATTATTCCTCGGTAATTTCTAAATTAAAATGCCAAGTTGTTCCAAAAAGCGACCAAACATCTAATAATGATTAATATGTTTCAAAATGTTCAACTTACAAACTGTACGTTTCTTCATGAATTATGTGTCTGTCTTTCTGTGACGGCGCGTTTGCAACGCGTCTATCTTTTAGTTATCTAAACATGTTTTATAGGTTTTTCTAGCCTTGGCGGGCTGCACGGATTGCACTTCTGCGCCACGAGTTTTCCTGGCTACATTCGAAGTACAACTCTGTTTCTACCTTGTGGTTAACTTCGTGTCATTTAGGCACCTAATAGTGCTAGAAGTACTAACAATGCATCGCGCTTTCAGTAAATGAGGGAAAACTATAGTGCACCATACTTGTACGCCATAATTCGCGTTGGATCCACTTCGAATTTTCAGACACCATTTCAGCAGAATGTGAAGTTCATTAGGTTTGTCCCCTAACTGCCTTGATACTCTTCTTAACTGTGACTCACTTCTGCACCTTACACTGAAGAATGAAGCAAACATTGTGATTTTCTTAAGCAAATCTTTGGTTCGAGTCAAACAAATCATGTTGATTTGTTTATTGACAACCGTGAGCCAGTGCGCTTTGCATCTTCATATTAGATGTGCCTTCACAGTACCATCAGGTGCTATTAAGAGCCAGAATAAATATTCCTTTTACTTATGTTGATGGCCACATTATCCGCAACATGGGCAGACACTAAAAGCCAGCTAAAAAACCCTTCATAAAATCTGCGGCATCATTGTCTATATGATTCGGGTTCATTTGACGTGTTGGACCTTACTCACATGACCACAATGAGATATTTCCTCTACGTAAAGAAAAAATATCTTAGCAGTGTGAGTACATTGTGCATCGTAAACTATTTGACCTTCGTTGCCTGCGGAGCATTACCTGTGTTTGGTATCACCTGCTTGTCTGCATTGAGCTGCTCAGGTATGCTCTTGGTTTTGGTTAATCCAGTTTGCCTGATCAAATAATAAATCTAGTTGAGTTCAGTTGACTGTGCATGACACCCACATCTAGCCGATGGGAGCCTTGTTCGGTTTTACAGGTGCAGAATAGTGTCAGTCTCAAAGAAAACCACCGCTGGTTTAGTGGTGGCTGAAGAAACCGTTGATCACCTGATTAGGTATTGTTGGTCAGTTCCATCAATAAACGCGGCCTATTATTGGCTACACAGTCTATAGTTCCTATCTAGCAAGAGTCACTGGTGGCGCGATTGCTGTCTCCTCACGTTTAGATTACCTATTTGATGATTCTGTCGTTGGGTTATCTTGAGGGTAAGATGGTTTATGACGCCGGATAGTGCACAATGCAAGAAAGTAATACTCACCTTGTGCTTGGCTCGAGACTTTCCAAGACGGCTGACAACCGACACTAGTGGCGCGTCTGCTGCTGTCTCCTAATCGAATTGCCTGTTTAAAGTATGTTTGATGCTGAGTTATCTGCAGGGTAATGGCTGATTATGACGCAAGCCAGTGAAAGCCGCAAGGAAGCTGTCTCGCTGATGCCGCCTTATCTTTGCACGATAGCCAGCTGTTTGTGACGGTATGTTGTATACACAAGGTGTAGGCGCCTTGACCCAGAATGTTTGCCTAGGGCATTAAGGTTTTCAGCTAAGTCCCCCTTTCTCTCCCTCTTATTCTTTATTTCATAGGCCCTCATGGTTGTATAGCAGCGAAGTATCAGTTCAAATGTCTGATGTACTGCTGTTGATGATTGATTGATTGGCACTCCAGGGAGAAAATTTTCGATGACATTCCAGTCGGCTGTACTGCATGACCAGCATGATGATGATGATGATGATGCCGATCTATCCCCACTTGATAACAAAGCGTTGGACACTGACGAGTTATAAACACCTAGACCAAGAATCTTGCTTGCTTGATCTAGATTATTTCTCAGTTTCCCCATTGCACCACTTTCGTTCTTAATAGGGCTCACATGGATGCATGGCAGTGTCTCATAGGTATAAAGTACTGTTGTACGGTTGTCGTTTTACATGCGCTGGTTGTAGCGGTTTTGTATACTTAGCGTTCCAGTTTAGTGTACTCAACTTACTTCATATGGCATGTCTTTACATGGCAACAATCCTTTAAATAGACCTAGAAATGGTGAAATACTAAAAAACCAAAATTTCGGTAGGTACCACGAAAATCAAATAAGCAAAATGTTTTCTTGTCCCGTTTTTACAAAGCCCGCCTCCATTTTAAGAATTTACGCATAAAAATTTGAATTCAACTAAGGTTTACTACGGACCAACAACAACAATCGCTCTTTAAAAATTTGGGAAAACCTGAAGTTTATCCTCAGCCTAACTGCTTGGTAAAAATTTATACTTTTCTAGTTGGTATTATATTTTCAAGGGTTCTATTCGTTTTCTGGCAGCAATAGGAAGGCTGCTTGTCGGCTGAAGCAGTTCAGGTTAACCCATGCTAATGTTTATAGTCTGTAGCTAGTTAAAACAATTTTGCACTTAATATAGAAGTGGAAGCCGGCTTTATTCTTGTTAGAAAAGTGTTTACGTGTTATGGAGCGTATGTGAAACAAAATTGGTGCTACAGGATTATTGGCAATCAACATGAGCCCGGTCCCTCCGTGTTTTCTGCATGGCATGCGAACACTATCCTTATAAATCAAGACACCAACAAGAAAGCTAGACGATGTAGAAACGCTTACCTCATACTGAATCTTATGCACCAAAGCTGTTAGTTGTTTATAAACTGAGTAGTCACACTTTAATAACCCTAGTCTAAGCTAAAAGTGGGATCGCAGCAGGTGTCGAATCACAATACATAGTCCTCTCCGTTTTGTGTTTCTGGCGACAAAACCCAGAGAATAGGAATGTGCACACAAACACGTAGCAATGGCCAGTGATACCGGACATGAAAACTCTTGGTCAAACCTTTCCTACGTAGCTTTAGCGGAATAGATGGACGTACGCTAAATGCACACAATCAATCAACCGATGCAGAGTGAAAAGAGCACTGAAAGTAGGGTGAGGTATACGTTTATTGCTGAAACGTACAGGATGGCTAGACTAAAAGAGCAACCAAACGACACTAGCTAAGGAGAGAAAAGGATGGATATTCCGGTAGCGTAGGTGGTTGACTCCAGAGGCCGCGTTCTGAAAGTGTGCATATAAACAAAACTGGTCAGCACGCGACTGACACCCTGTTTAATTTCCCCAGGTATAGATGATAATATAATCTGGAGATATTTTACTCATGATACAGGGCAATCTCCAGGTTACTACATTGCAGCCTAGAGATTTTCCTGGTACTCCTGTGTAAAGTTCTAACTAAACTTATTATTTACTTGTACATTCCGACGACCGATGCGGATTGTTGAACTGGTTGTTGACTTTAATAGCTTGCGTCAAGCACCGTCATTTTGCTGGGCGCTCGTTTCCATTACAACGCGCGAGCGCTCCCGTGTGCTATGCACTTTGTGTTCCCATAACTAGCGGCGTTCATCGGTGCCGTTTTTTATAACTGGGAAGACGGGAAACCTTCGGTTGTACGAATAGAAGTTTCCCTGTAACTCCATCTGCCTTCTGGATTTGCTATTTGGGTTCCCGCTAAGCATGCATTATTGCAAATCATTAACCGATGATTCACCTACCTTGTACATGACATCTATTGCCCTAAAGTTCTGATGGCCAGTGGTTCGAATGCGTTAGCATGGCTTAGGAATGTGTCAAGAGATAATGCTGTCTTTTATTCCCGAAGCGCAATGCGTTCTCTACTATCACAATACTTTGTTTATGTCGCCAGTTAAAACATCAACTTATTTTATTATTATCTGACGCAGGCGAGATATTACAGTGGAAATCAACTGGTTTTAGATATATAGTAATTACCTTAGTTTTTAAGGGTTGGTGCTGGCATATTACTGGGCTGAAAGAGGACATTAATTTCTTCAGTAAACTTTAAAAGTTGCATTGCTTCAGGGTAGATCGAAGAACAATGCAGCTGTCAAAGATTGATTGCTCAGCAAAACCCGGTGAATAGGTAACGTATTCACATAACTGTCACCATACTTTGCTCATGTGGACCGGCTTAAACTCACGCAAATAGGGTACACAAATCAGCGCACCATCTGAATCAAGATACTTGAACTAGTATAAAACGTAGTAGCGTGTGCACCGCGGTGGGGGAAACCTACCAGCAATGCGATAAACCTACGAACAAGCTGCTATTGGTAAAGGATGGTTTTAAGTCCTTAAGTGTCTAAGAAAAAAAGCGACTACCTTCGCACATTATAGACCTTTCACGGTTTTAATAACCACTCTCATTGAGCGTATAATGGTAATCTAACTAATGTTTGTAGAGCTAAAGGCCAACATCACCTGCGTCAAAGTCTATAACAAGCACAAGGAGTGCAGATGTATCAACCCGACCAAAATGCTAGAGAAATTTGCGAGGAAACTTGTCATTTTTAGAGGTACGGTTGTAGTCTAACGGAACCTAGAATAAGCAAAAACGTTTGCCGCTTCTTTACGAATCCAGAAATTAAAAGTCACATGGCTGGTTATTTCTCGGGAGCAAAGCAAACAGTATTGCTCACTACGATTTACCGGCAAGCTACAACTTCCAAAACTGCTGCAGCCACTTGTGCGTTACCAAACGGGCGCAAGCGCTATTCGACTCCGCGGGCACTTCCACAGTTTCAGAAGGGCAGCAAACGTTGACCATAGGGTCTTCATTGCACATGATAGACCGCTTTGTTTTCTAGCATGACTGTTTTACATAAATAAACAAATCACTATTTCTTCATGGCAGTAAGAGGTATAGTCCAGGTAGAACCTCCAATCCAGTTGTACGAAGATCTCACCAATGTAATGCTTATACAAGGTGCTCACACAAAAAAGAAATCCTGTGGCCATTCACTAGAGTGTTTCTAGAACTAGTGGAAGCTGTGGGCTATAGAAATTTGTTTTGTTGAGGCTTGAATATTACGCAGTAGTTTTAGGTC